CCCATGAAAGGTAAAGAAACTTTCGAAGTAGATGAGATAGATAGTGCTATAAAATTATTTGACGAAGTTGCTGAAAAATACATGTAAAGCGTTTATTTTTGGTCTTTTGTGAAAGTCAGAAAATAACGTTAGAATTTTTTTTATTTATTTTTTTATCCTGTATGTAAGAACAGTAATGTCAACATCAGAGAACACAACAACTGCTATCGTTCATGAAGCCATAAATGAAGAATACGAGTACATACAGTATAACAAACAGTTACGTCTCATTCGTTCAGTCAAAGATGACATGTACCAAATGCAAAGTATAATGAATGCTCTTCGTTCTACAAAACAAGCATATCATTGGTTTGAAAACCAACAGACAAAAGAACTTTTAGAAGAATTTCCTCATATGATTGCTTCCCTCGGAAAACCGAGGGAAGAGATTCCATTCGAAAATCGCAAGAATTTGGCTCCTTGTTTGAAAGGTTATTATGTTCATAGACTTTTAGTAAACGCTGTATCAATGTGGGCTTCACCTCGTTATGCTTGTTATATTTTCATGATGTTAGATGAACTATATAAAGCAGAACGTGAAGATATGGAAATGAAACTTCAAGCAAAAGATGAAGTCATTGAAGCAAAAGACAAAAGCATACAGAAAAGAATACCACGTTCAGTACCAAAAGGAAAGGAAAAGAACTATAAGTATATGATATATACTGAAGAGTTGGAGAAAGAAGAAGATAAAGATATGGTTATATTGCATTTAGTCAGAAGAAACAACAAGAGCTTTTATGACTTAGCTAAAATATATAAATCTGACAGAAACTGGTTCTATCGTTAAAACTTACCGATTTCAATGACACCGAATGAGCAAATAAAGGAAATTGTCAAAAATACTCTTCCTCAAACACACTATGACATCAAAGGTTGCACAATACTTACATTCAAAGAAGACTTAACATTACTGAAGGAAAAAATAACAGAATATTTCGATAACTTCAAAGAGGAAGAATGAAAAAAAATCTCGTCGGGTGCCACGTTAGAACCATAGTGGAGAAAACCATGATAAAAACAAAACGCTCCATGTCGATCATAATCGACGAAGTGCAAATCTTCACTTCGTCAAGTTTATTTTGTTTTTACCATTTAATTGTTGTAAAATATCGATATGAAGACTAACCAAAAATATATTTTTGCTTAAATAACGTCAGGGTCTATTTCTTCAACCATTTCACTTCCTTCGTCAATGTCAATTGAAGCTTCTTCAACCTTTGGTAAGAATTTCTGTATAACATCTTTGTTCGTTATTGTCTTCAGAGATGAAGGATAATATTTCACATTTGTTTCACCCTTCTTATATTCTTTCTGTTCGGAAAGATTCATAGCAATACTGAAGAAGTCAATGTTAGAGTTCTTTATGACAGTATAATGAGTATCTTTGACATTCACGAAGAAACTCTTTTGTTTCAAAACTACTGCTAACTCTTGTGAAGTATAACGTTTGCGGTCAATGACGATAGCTAATGGTCTGACATACTGACCGAACTTAGATTCTTTCACAAACTTCTTGTTAAAGATAACATTGACGTTTGAAGCACCATTGAACTCATTCTTGATGGCAGTAGCGAGAGCATTGTATGAAAAGAACTTGCAATCTTGCATGTGTTTCATTATAATAAAAAGTTCGAAATATTTTAAAACTAGCCTTAAAAATCTAAGCTAATTTTTTTCTAAGAAATTTTTTTATTTCCTACTAAAGATGTATCGGAAGTTGTCTAAGTTAGAACACTCGGAAATAAAACAACTTCTTACAGAAGCTAACATAGATGTTGCAAAACATTACGCGACAAACAAAAAAGCACTCGCTGACATCCTCAATGACTACAATGGTGAAATAACTTATGATAGAATTCATGAGTTCATAAAGCCGCAACGCGGCGAGGACGAAGTCCATGCAAGAGCATTTCCTTTAAATGACGTTGCTATTGACTTATATCATAGACGTTCAGTACCTCATGAAGTAAGAAGAGAAATGTTTGACATAACAAATGCAAACGTTGGTCATACTCGTAAAGCTCTTTCGCATGATGTTCGTCAAGAGATGTTTGACATAACAAATGCAAACGTTGGTGAAACACGAAAGAGAGACGACACACTGAAACAACAGAGAAGAGAGATGTTTAAAAGTGCTATAGAACAAGTTCGCAAAGCTAACGATGTCATTCGTTCCATTGACGACAAACCAAAAGAAGGTGAGAGATGGTTAAAGAAAGATGAAGAGAATAGGAAGAGAAATGTGAAGTCAGGCAATAGACTCATTGACTTTAACATCGAAGCTTTAGATGAACCAAACAGAGACTACTTACACAAACATTTCGGTAAGGTTTTCATGAGACTCTTAGAGAAGATTAAAATAAACTCCCAACAAAGATGGATGGTATGTTATAAACTTGGTGGAAAGTATGAATGTTCTACGTTAAACCTCAATAATATTGGAACATTACTACATCAGCTCTTGAAGGAGAACTTTATATCAGAGATAGAAGCAAATGCCGCAGGTATTGTTGAAATGCACTATGACTTCTTCTTGACAAACATAAAGAATCTTACTGAAATAAAGATGTATGATTTAACAGAATATGAAGGCTTAACGATGTCAGATGTTAAGAAAGGCAAACCAAAAAAGACCATATAGAGATGAAAGCACACTGACAGAATGACAGAAAGATTATTGAACAGACTTAAACAAACAGGAGAACCAGATTATAGAACTTTTGGAAAGAAATGGTGAAAAGAAGTTTTATAAGAAGAGAAGCGGTCAGTTCTGGAAGTATCTTTGCACATTACCTATAAATCTTGAACGCTACCAAATCTTCAATGAACTGAACAAAAGAACTGCAACACTTATGACAGAGGACAATTGTTTCGTTTATGCTTGCATTCAGGCTGGAGTAAATGAAGAAACTATTGACCACATGAGAGAAGTCATTCGTGTTAGAGACTTTCCTCAAAGTAAAGTACAAGAAATTTCCGACAACAGGTATAGCATTTAATGTTACCATTGGTTATTCAATGACTCAAGACATAATGAAATAAAGAGATACATACCAAAAGAATGTAAAACTGTTCGAACTATTGACTTACTTCTTGTTGAAGACCACTACATGCTAAATGAAAGACTTCCAATGACAACATATTTCATTCGAAATTACAGAAAAATCTTGAAGGAGTGTGGTGGAATGAACATTGAGAAACAGATGAAGATTTATACAAAGAGAGAGAAAATATGTAGTTCGCATGGATAGAACTACACCGCTATGGGATGTTATGAAAACATTGTGGGAGTGCAAATATTTCGAACCTATTTCTTATGGAGAACTTTTCACATATACGACTGACTTATATAAAAGAACCTTGCACCATTTAAAGATTTGACATATGCTCCAAAGTATTGTGTACAACTGAAGAAGAAAGCAGAGTCAAAAGAAGTAAATAAAAATAAGTGCAAGTTCATTCCTGAGCACGTTTTCTTTGCTGACTTTGAGTGTAGCACAGACGGCTTTCATAAAGCGTTTAACATCTGTTACGACAGTGAAAATGGTTCAGTGAGTCAAAGCATTTGGGGTCAGAACTGTGCAACAGAATTTTTGGAGCGACTTCCTGACAAGAGTTTAATATATTTCCATAACCTCAGCTATGACATAAACTTCATCTTAAGACACATGACAGAAGTGAAAGGAACTCCCATCATTAAAGGTTCACGAACAATGCAAATAACTGGCTTATATAAAGGAAGGGCAATTATTATAAAAGACTCTTACAGTGTTATAAATAAGAAGCTTAAACTATTTCCTGCTATGTTTAACTTACAAACAGGACCGAAAGAAGTATTTCCATACAACTACTACAGCAGTACTTTGTTAGCAAATGACAACAGAACTGGTGTCATTTCTGAAGCATGTAAGTTTATCCAGGATGCAGATACATTCATGAAAAACATAGATTCCATCAAAGGTTGCAGAATAGATGAAAACCACTTCGACTTAGAAAAATATAGCACGTTTTATGCAAACAAGATGTAAGAATTTTAAGAGAAGGTTTTGTAAGTTCCGCAATGACTTATTGAAAGAGTTTGATTTAAACGTTTATGACTACGTTAGTATTTGTTCAATTGCTAACAAATTGTTTGAGAACAGAGTATACTTCCCGAATGGAAATCTTTATGACCTCTCAAATAAACCAAGAGAATTTATTTCGAGATGCATTCAAGGTGGAAGATGTATGTTTCAGATAACATTAAACAAAAGAGCAAAAGAAACTCATTGCTGACTTCGACGCTGTTTCATTATATCCATCAGCTATAGCAAGACTTTATACTTTAGAAGGAATTCCAAAGTTATGAAGAAGAAATGTTAAGCACAGAGTATCTCATGAGACATTTATTCAATGACGACCAAAAGGAACCCATTGGTGAAAAGTTTATGTCTGGCTTCTTTGTTCTCATTAAGATAACAGAGATTGGCATACATAGACACTTTCCTTTAATAGTTTGTGACCCTGAACTAAATCCAGAACTTAACGTTCCCAGAAGTTCAAACACTTGCTGTTTAATGTATGTTGACCATATAACATTACAAGACCTCATAAAATATCAAGGTGTCAAATGTGAAGTGTTGCAAGGATACTATTACGATGGAAACAGAGATATTAGAATAAGAGATGAAGTAAAGAAGTTGTTTGAGTTAAGGTTAAAGTATAAGAAAGAAGGAAATCCTTTGCAAGAAAATATAAAGCTCATTCTGAACAGTATTTATGGCAAAACTATTCTATCTCCTATTGAGTCAAAAATAACCATAGTAAATGACAAAGATGCTATAAGATATGCCATCAGAAACTACAACCATATAGTGAAGTTCGAAGGTTTGGATGGTTCAGATAAAACTATTTTCAAGCTAACGAAAAGCATTTGCAGACACTTTAACTTCTGTCCACTTGGTGTTAATATTCTATCTATGTCGAAGAGAATAATGTGTGAAGTATTCTGTACTGCTGAAGATATGGGACTTCAAATCTTCTACCAGGACTGTGATAGCATGCATATTTTCAATGAAGACATACCACGTTTAGCTCAAGAATTTAAGAAGAGATACGGTAGAGAACTTATTGGTAAAACATTAGGTCAATTTCATAGCGACTTTGCAGAAATAACACCTGGAAAACAAAGTTTAGCATACAAGTCAATATTTTGTGGAAAGAAGACTTACATAGACTTACTCACTAACGATTTAAATGAAGTTGCATTCCATGCACGTTGCAAAGGTGTCAAACAAGACGTCCTTGCTTTAACAGCTAATGAAATGTTTCCTGAAGCTATACAATGCTATTACAATGAAGATAAGAACATTCACATACCTGTTGGAACATATGACAAAGACTCTGAGTTCAGTTTAATGAAACTTTACAAAGCACTTCATGATGGTCAAGAGATTGGATTTGACTTATGTAAGTCATGTCAACCTTGCTTTGAAGAGAAGTTTAACTTCTCAATAACGACTAAAACAAGCTTTATTCGTAAGTTGAAGTTCTGAGGTCATTTATTTTTGTCAGCAATGAGGTCATTCGTGATAAAAATAAGCCGCTAGCGGCAAGGCGAAGCCCATGTGGTCATTTACAATACAGCAATTGTAGAGTTTAAGAGTTGTGCTTCAATGTAGAGACAGTCCTTATGGTCTGGAGGTAAGAACACTGGGCAGTTATGGTCATGAGTGGAGAACATGTCTATCCAAAACTCACGATTGAAGCCAGTTAATTTATAGTATTTAGGATTTGGTAATGGTGAATTTCTTGTATGACCAATGAACTCATTTTCAACTCCCTTACTTAAGTTTGAATATAATATAGCTTGCTTTCTATCCCAAATGCCAGGTGTTACAATCTTTGAAAATTCATTTTTCCTCGGAAGCATTGCATCATAATTGAAAACATTCTTGAAATCATCACTTGGTTCAGAGATTTGAAATCTTATACGTAATGGATTTTCTTTCTCTTTAGCGACTTCATTGAATGGTGAATATATAACAAACTGACAGTCATGTGTTCCATCTTCATTTTCATTAAATTCATAATGAAAGTCTATAAGTTGTGGCTGACTACCTTCTTCTTTCAGTTGTGCAAGAAACTCACGTAAAGGCTGTAAAGTTTGTACTTCAATGTTGAACTTTTTCTCGAACATCTCATTAAATGAAATCATACATTGCAACAATGTTGTATCGTCTTTAAAGTATTTGTATATGTGAATGTTTTGGGCGCTTAAAGACTGTTCGTCATTTTCTATCTCGACTTGAAGTATAAAGTCAACCTTTCTGAAAGCACGTGTTATATACATAGATGTTATGCCAATGTACTTCTCTTCATTTATGTTCACAATCCAGTCTGTTGGAAACTTAAACGTTACTCTGTTCCCCTTTATTTTGACGTCAGGGTTTTCACTACTGAACGCAACAGATAAAGGTATTTGTCTATACATTTAATTCGGATAAAAATAAACCATTTACTCTTTCTTTGCTTCAGCTTCTTTAGCTTTTGCTTCAGCTTCTTCTCTAGCTTTTTCGCCAGCAAACGTGGGTTCTTTTGTCTTCCAGCAGCTAATGCAGCAAGTTGTTTTTCACTAAGTTTTCTCTTTGGTCTCTCTGGCTTTTGTTCTTGTTTTTGTTCCTTCAGTTCGGATAAAATTTGCTCACGAATTTCTTTCTTCAATGCTTCAACATCTATGACCCCTTGGGTCTTGTCCGTAGGGCTTGTCTGAGTCATTTGACTGCAGATAAAAAACAAAATTAAAACTTTAACCGATGTAAAATGAGCTTGTCAAAATCAGAGCGAGAGTCTATTATATTAAATGACGCAAGAGGAATACAACATCCTTTCTATTACGTAAGTCAGAGTAAAGATGGTAAAATATACGTAAGAAAAAGAAAGGTTCCATTAGCGAATGCAGAAAGCGACAACATTAAGGTGTATGGCAAGGGTGAAGCCCATATAAAACCTTCTGTTCAAACTGAAAAGTCAATAGAACCAGAAGAAAAGAAGCCAGATGTACTTTCAATAACGAATCAAGAGCTTATTGCAAAGTTCGTGAATTTCATTGAAAAACAAACCGAGTCAAAGAACCCTGACCCACCAGTGAAAGAAGTTGAGACAAAAGAGAATGTACAGTTCATTGAAAATGTCAAGAAACAACTTCCACCACGAATGCCAAGAAGAAGAGTGAGAATAATGAAGTAAATAGATATTTTTATCTGAAGTAAATACATGCAGAACGAACAGTAAACGAATTTACTCCAGCAGAGCATATTCATCAGATTCGCTCATATTTCGATATCATAGACAATGCAGTTCAAATTGGTGACACTAATAGAAAATATTCTGACGCAAAGATTCCATCACAACCTGGAACTGCTAAAGATAACACATGGGTAACATTCAATCTCTCACCTCCTGGTGAAAATATGTTGGACCTTTACAATACATTCATTACGTATAAAATGGAAGGTCAATTTATTGTAGATAAAGAAATTGGTTCAGGTTCCAATAAAACAAACCCACCAGGATTTTGGATTGGTTTCGATGACGCTTTCTATGCAGTTGCTGGATATCAAATCCTTGCAAATGGTCGTATCGTATATTCTCAAGACAACGCAAGAGAAGAAGCATATATAACTTCAAACTCACAAACTACCGAACAAATAAAGAAAGTAGATGTTTTCTCAAAGACTCGACATGAAGATGTATGGAGTCATTCGGGAACATGCAGAACAGGACAAATTGTTAGTGGTCCAATTACAGCAGGAAAATCATTTGATTTTAAGCTTCGTTTAAGAATTCCTGTTAGAAGATTCCTTCCATTAGAAGCTATTCGATTTATTCCAGCTTTTGCAGGAAACATTCAGCTTAAAGTAAAGTTCAGTAGCGACGCCTTACAATGCACATCTATATCTGTAAATGATATCATTGCTTTCAATCCAACTCTTAAAGTTGCATTTGCTTCAGATTCAAATCCACCGACAAATAAATTTGTTCCATGGAATGAACCATTCACTATGATAACGAAGGCAGTAGAAGCTAGTGGAACAGTTACTATTACAACTGTAACCCAGCAACTATTTCGAACAAAGATGGATTTTAATGAATGTTTCATTCATCCAAAGTCATTCTCTTTAGACCCTAACATTTATACAGAACTTGTAGAACATTATACAAACGAGGCTTTATGTTTTCCTGTTAAAGTTATGGATTGGATTCCTATGGACGGTTCATTCTCAAAGAATACAGATAGTTCAAGTGCAACATTTACAGCAGCTTATACGCCTATTAATGTTAAAAGTATTTGGGCACTATTTAGAAAGAAAGACAACTATTATGTTAATTTTGAGAACCCTAAGTTTAAATATCTTCAGCTTTCCATGGGAGCTTATGGAAATATGCCTGCAGAACCTGAAAAATCATATGGACCTGTATTTTATGAAATGGTTGCGAACGCTTGCAATACAAACAATGATATGATAGGATTTAATGAAGATGTTATGAGGTCATTGGTGGATGATGGTAGTGTGGAACATAAATGGGATAGCTATGACAACACACATTTCTTATGTGGTTTTCCAACAGAAGTGGACTTTTGCTTCCAGCAAGGTCAAACATCTACTGCTCCAATAACATACAAATTGTCTGTTAAAGGACCTATTGAACTAGCAACTGAAAATGTACCAAAGCCACTTATTGGATTTATGAGGGATTGTTGCTTTGCCATTCAGGTGCGTGCTAATGGCATCCAATAATAAGATTAGACGACTATAACTTAGCTACGGACGACAGTGAGGAATAAAGGATGAACGTTTATTTTTAAAGCTTATAAATGAGTTCTTCATCAAGCTCTCGTGAACCTTCACCATCTATGAAACAAACTTTACCAAACGATTATGGAGCACCTATTGAATATTTCTTACGAGCTGCACAATGGCAAAGAGCAGTCTCACCAAGGTTAGGTGTTCCACCAGCTCCTGTCAAAAATAGCATTTGGTCAAGTCCTTATATAAATATGGTCTCCCACTAGGTTTGCTAGCTACAGCAGGAGCAGTTATGATGTTGAAAAGAAATAAAGCAAATGTTGTAAATAATACTGAAGTAGCTGAAGTTAAACAAACTCCACACCACACAAAACCAACGCCTTCACAAACAACACCTTCAATGACTCCTGAACCTATGGAAGTACAAACTCCTGTTCAAAAGTCAACTCCTAAACCGACTCCAACATTTAAACCAGAACCTACTCCTCAAATAAATCGTAAAACTCCTGCGTTTCCTTACTGAAAAAATAATGTTATTTTTATTTAATATTAAAATTTTTATTTGATTGAAATGACGACTAAAGTCACTGAAGCAATGAAACAAAAGTTTTTGGTAGAATACATTAAATCAGGAACTATTCCAGAAGGTTTTTACATTCATACTATGAAGGATGGTAGAGTTCAGTTTAGAAAGATAAAGCAACCATTAGATAAAGAAGGAATTTTGAGAAAGATTAAACTTCATGAGGACAACATTGCTGAACTTAGGAAGAAGTTAGAAGAGTTGGAGAAAGGAAGAGAGTTATAAAGCAATGAATTCAAGATGGTGAAAAACCAGGTGAAAAAAGAGGTGAGATTTCACCACTTCACCTAAACATTATTTTTGCGCTATGTTTTCATACGTGTGAGGGTGGTGATATCATTAATTTTTATATAAATGACAGAACAAAAATAAAGCATATCTACTCAACAGGAATGAGACCCTTACTGACTATGTATTCGTTTAATGCTTGATGAAAACAATGGTACATATTATCGTATGGGTATACACAACGTCTGTTTCCATCGTCGTCGTATATGTAGAGCTCAAATCCAGTCCAACCTTCTTTTGTACAATATGTAGCTTTATTTAAGTATGCATTTATGTAGATAAGGCAATTTTCTTCATCGCTCCAGAAATAATTTTTCGTCTTTGTTGAAATAGTTTTCGTTCCTCTACGTCCATAAGGAATGTATGCAATAAATTTAGCATCATAAGGTATTATAATATATTCAGGGTTTCTTTCATCGTCAATGGGTCTGTCTTTGTTAAAATGCATGTTTCTCAGTTTTACTTGAGTTTTGAATAGTTCACGGAAACGTTCTGGGAAAGAGTCATAGTAAATGTAGTCGGACATGTCTTTGTAATGAAATAAAAAATTTTAAAAAAATAAAAATAAGTTTATTTTTTATTTAGTGAGGACGGTAGTGAATTCGTTAGTGAAGTCGTTAGTGAAGTCGTTTATGTGTCAGACGGTTTTGTAAATATTTAAGGTTAAGTTGGTGTTATGGTTGTGTTGTAAAATATACGTTACCGGTTTCGTAAAGTGTCAAAACCACTAAGTCGTGTACGGAGGCGCGCAGTGCCACAGTACATCACTTAGGGATACTAACTATAATCTTTGAGTCAGGAAATACGGTATGACATAAATGGGACATATAGAAACTTCCACCGAACAAATCTACAAATGTTAGACCATTCGGTAGTTTCTTAAGTTCTCTCAATATAATATCTTTACATCTACTCTTATTTCCAAAGAACGGTAACGGTGGTTTTGTAAAATTCATTTATATATAATAATAAAAATGTTTTTACCCGAAAAGTGACAAAACATGAAAACATATATAATTTGTGAAAAGCGACACATTATATAATGTTTTCGACCCAGAAGACTAACAATTTTCCGAATAAAAACTTCATTTATACTAAACATCTTCGGGGCTAGAGGGCGCAACGCGCCTGGAAGCCCTCCGAATATAAACTTCATTTATACTAAACATCTTCAGGGCTAGAGGGCGCAACGCGCCTGGAAGCCCCACTACCTTTTTTTTAATTTTCAGTGTGTTCATGTTTTAGCACTGATATTTCATATCAAGATTTTGAAAAAGACGAACAAATTTGAATGTAGATAAAAAGTGACAATATAAAATGATTGGTGTTGATTATAAATACAACTTTAAATTCATTGTCATAGGTTCCAGTGGTGTAGGAAAGACTGCACTTCTATCACGCTTAATTGATGGAACTTTCTCACCAGAAAATCAATCAACAATTGGCGTTGAATACCTTTCTACTGTTATCGAAGTAGATGGAAACCCTATCAAACTTCAAATATGGGATACAGCTGGTCAAGAAAAGTTTAGGGCTATTGCCAAGTCCTATTTTAGAAATGCTGTTGGTGTAATTTTAGTATATGATATTACAGATCGTAAATCTTTCGATGATTTAGCATTGTGGTTGAACGATGTGCATACTCTTTGCGACCCAAATGCTGCCGTGACTTTGATTGGTAATAAATTAGATTTATCTTCCTCTCGAGCTATTACAACTTCAGAAGCTACATCGTTCGCAAATACACATCACCTCTTGTACCTGGAAACATCCGCGCGTGGTGGTGATAATGTTCAAGAAGCTTTTGCACGTGCAACGAAATCTGTATATGATAGAGTTGAAAATGGGCAAATTGTTTGTAAGACAACTACTACATCACAAAAGAAAGCAAAAAGTGATGGTGGCTGCCAATGCTAAGATATTTTTTTGTTTCTTTTCTTTTTCTTTTAATAAATACTACTATCATAGCTCTTACTTTGCACTTCTTATTTATTTTCTATCCTAATTTGGCATACTATTATATGATATGGTGAGATAAAAATATCTCATCCAATTGATATTATATTGGATAAAATTTTTATTTCTATATTAGTTGTTATATGTGTCATTAAAGTTATTCAATCTGCCTTCATATTTTCAATAATTTTTGAATGCGATCGCTGAAATAATCATCCCTCTATAGTCATTTATAATAGACAGATCTCAAACAAATATTTGACTATATTGTCATTGGCTATTTTTCATATCATGACAGATTCCAAATTAAATTTATCATAATTATTGGGAATGCAAAGAGTAGATCGCATTTCTATTCACACTGGTGCATAAGAAAGTGTGTAATCAAGTTTCGTGTAGTGAGGGTAGAAAAAGTTTGCAAGTGATGTGAACTATAATTTTTATATAAAAATGGCTAAATCTGCAACACCAGAGCAGCTTGCTAACTATTCTAAGCTTCATGATGAAGCTGTTGCTAAACTCCTTACAATTAAGGATGATCCAAAGTGGGAACTCTCAAGTGAAGAGCAAGAAATCAAGTTCTATAAATTATACATTGAGTCATCACCATTTGCTGCTGCTAAAAGTGTCGTCACAATCCCAGACACAACACTTGAAGAAGTCAAGAAAGTTCTTCTTCCAATTACAATTGTTGATGATAAAACACCAGAAAAGCAACGCCATGGCCTCGACTACTGCTATGAGCTTTCTGGCAATGGCACTGACTATAACTTGTTTGTCACAGCTACAGCATCACCAGGCCCATTAGTTTCAGGACGTGAATTCATTCTCTACAGAAAGATGGTTGAAAAGGATGGCCTTCTCATTGCAATCAATATCTCTATCCCAGATGATGATCTTGTCCCAGAAAACAAGGAGCATGTCCGTGCTTTCATGGATTACCAAGGTTTCATCGCTAAAGTTTCAGAACAAAATCCAAAGGATGTCGAGCTTTCATTCTACGTCCACGCTGATCCAAAGGGAAGCCTTCCATCCTGGGCATACAACGCTGTCGTTACAAAGCAGGGTTATGCTGCTAAGGGTGTCAGAGGAAAGATCATTAAGGACCATGAAGCTAAGTAAACCAATATATTTCTTATACATTTTAAAATTTTAAAATAAATTACAATATTTTATTGTATTTCCTGTTTCAAACTACTTCCTTTCTCAAAAATACTATATTTGCATGCTTTCGATCGGAATTCAACTTGGTTTTTTTGAAATTTGTATAAAAAATTGAATATTCGATAAATAATTTGTTTTAAATCAAAGTGAATATCGATATTAATACTAATTGAGATAAAAATTTAAAAGATGCCACTTTTTGCGGAAATAAAATTTGATCTGACGATAGAAAAGAAATGAACGCTGTTGAATGTCGGATCACATCAATTATTCTTCCACGTGTAATTCCTTCTCGTATATTTATTAGCTGGAGGTGTGGAAGAGTTCTAGGCAAAACAGCGCCTTTTCCAGCAAATGATCAAATGATTTCTGTAAAAGAATCATTTATTGTTCCAAAACAGATTGGCGAAGATGTTTCAGTTATATTAGCTGTCCATGCCATCGATAAAAAAGGTAACTCGATTAAATTTTCTGATGCAAAAATTGATATTCCTGAATCAATTTATACAAAGAAGTCAGTATTTCTTCAAGGCATTTGCACTTCATCAATTGGCGAATTCGTTGTAGAAACTGAACTTGTTGCCAAAAACAATAACTTTCCAACTCCGCCATACGAAGCTGAAGAGTATGCATCGTCATACATCGAGATAGTCAATTCTATCGAGAGCACAATTGACGATGATACAGTTCCTGAAAGATACATAAAAGCCGACGAATTACTTAATACTTTTTCAGAACTTCCTGCAGATAGTGTAAGTGATGCACAGATTCAGAGAATCACAGATTCATTCGACAAACTCGAAAAATGCAATACAAAGCTCAATGGAAGATACGATTTGATTGTCCAAACAATTTTAGGAATGATGGAGAAGGATTACTTATTTGTCCTTCCAAATGGACAAGTCAAGAGCTATGGATCATTCCACAATTCTCAGGAGCTCAGATATCCTTACATTGGACTTATTCTTTGCAATACTTTGAAGAAATTATCTTCGCCATCAATCGGATTTAACTTAGAGGAAATAGATCACTTCATGATTGAGATCTGTTCACTCTTTGCCGGTTTAATTGCAAATGATGAGCAACATGACAGAGGTTTGTTGTATATCGTAACAAACATTTGTTTCTTAGTACAATATATAAGAACGAACCTTCAACTTAATCTTCCTAACTTCGAATTGATGATTCTCATTACTTACAAACAAATTATTGCAAGAATTTTAGAAATTGATGTTCAACAGATCAATAAATTCATTAATAACCCGAAGAAATTCATTACATGGTACAAAGATCATACTTCCATGTGTAATGATCTCGGAGTTCCAAAGAATATCCTTAATATGAATATTCATTCTTATCTTATCAAGCATATGGACTTTTCCATAATGAAATGGTGGCTTTCTCAACCCACTGTAGGCACTGCTGATTATCAGGCCCTCGTTTCCTCTGTTCCTGGTCAATGGCCTTATTTAACTTCTCTTATGTTCATTGTTTCCAATGCGGAGAAGCTTGTTAAGAAGAAAGTCACTAAAGACCAGATTTATGCACCTTGCAGAGGCTCAATTTTCATTTCAATTTTAAGAAAATTAGAAAGCCTCAAAATGGTCTCAATTTCGCAGAGACAATACGCTGCAATCACTGAACCTGATAAAGTCAAGGCCATCCTTCAGAGCGCAAATGACTACTCAGAAGCGATTAATTCAATCGCAACGGATGTCATCATTGCAGATAATTTACCAGAGCCACAAAGTATCTAAAAACATAATTTCTATTTTTCATTTTTTCAAAAAAAATCATAAACAAAATTTTTTCTATAAAGTTAAATCTACATTTTTCACGATATTGTTTTGATTTCATTTAGCATAAATGTATTAAATATATGCCTTGGTCCATGTGTATACATATCACAATGTGTAATATCATATTATCTTCTTCGGATATCATGATTCAAACGATCAAACTTCGCTCCAGAAAAAATATTTTTTGGATTGGAACATAGGTAACAAAATATTTGATGAATCATAGTTTAAACATCTAAGTAAACTCCACAAGTGCTAAAATGATCCATTTTTATGAGTGACTTTACTATGATAATTCATTTTACTAAAATTTACTGAATTCTTAAAAAATAATGGATAAAATAGCATCGAATATATTGGAATGATATTACTCATGCGCAAGTAACCGTATGCAATGTATAAATCAACTAATTCTTATTTTTGGAGATTTCACTCAAAAAAAATTATCGAAATTTTGCGAAAATAGGAAAGTCAAGCACTATATCATATGTTGATTACAGATATGCTGTTTTCCAAATTTCTAATGTATCGTCAAAAAACCATTTCTTGATTGAAATTTGCCAAATTTTTGCCGATGATGATGTCATCGTTTTATTATGGTGTATGGAGCTTCGGGATTAAATGTTCGAAAAATCGGAAAGAAACGATAGAAAAATTCTGAGAGAATTTTTTTGATAATAATCACCGATAATTACTGGGAAAATATAACTAGCTACCTATGTTTGTTGATATTTATCGTGTAATTTTAAATTTTAAGAATTCTGAGAGTTCCAAGATCTTCTGAAATGTTTTAAGAAGCAGTCCTGAGTTCATTTCTCAAGAAATGTCAGCTGTTGAGCATGGTGCTAACTCTGCTTCCCGCAAGATCCTCGCTCTCCACCAGAAGGAAATTGATGAGAAGACAAACCACCACGAGAAGGTTCATGGTGTAGACCCACTCCATACATCTCACAAGGAAGTCCAAGTCAAGAAGGCTCCAGTTGCTCACGGTCATGCTGGTCAGGGCAAACCAGCCGCTGCTCCAGCCGGTGATGCTGCCAAGGCTCCAGCTGCTGCTGCTGCCGCCGATAAGAAGCCAGCTGAAAAGAAGAAATAAGTAATTTAATTTGTATTAATTAAAAATGTAATTTAATATATAAAATCACTCATTTTTTAAAGTTTGGTACTTAAAATGGTATATAATCAACTTCAAAATCTGATAAATTGAGCTAATATAATGAAAACTCATATGAAAATGAATGAATAATTATTGAATTAGATACTCTCTTGTATTAATAGTTTACTAGTGAATCATTTGTTTCAATTAATGATGTATGTGTCATAGTGTTGTTGTGAATAGGGAAAAAAGCCATTTGTCCAGTGAATATTAAAAAAGGTTGAGTTTATTTTATTATGTAGCGTATTAAATTATTAATTATGTAATGTTAATGCCAAACTCTCAAAACTTAGCAGCGAAAAGTATAAAAAAAAATGAAATTATCAAAAACATTTAGGAAAGATTTAATTACTAAGCAGATGAAAAGTCTATCCAGCGACAATAAGTGAATCGCTAGCTCCACGAGCATAGAATGGATCTTCTGCGAACTTAAGGTCGTGTTTTCTGATAAGGTTTGATCCAATCATCGCAAGAATGCCAGTGCAGTACTCAAAAATGAATGTGAAGCATGCAGTGAAAGCTCTGGCCTTGGCAATATTGGCAGAATTCTGTTGATGAGAAAGCCAAGTAGAAATTGGATTAAGTTTGAGGTAGTGTAATATATTGTACAAAGAACGAAGGAAGAAGAGGATTCCGAATATAGAAAGTCCGAATTTCGACTGATTAACGCAGGGAATATCATCTGGTTGAATAATTGGATAAGAAATGGCGTCGATTAAAAGATATGCTGGTATAACAACGAAAACAAGAATAAGTAAGTCTGTGCAGCCACTCCATAAGGAAATTCCGAAAACTGAGTCACTGTTATCATCTGTTGGAATGAACGATATTGCAACGCCTGTAACTAAGAAAACAAAAACGAAAACGGCAAAAACGCATCTGAAAAATGAAATAATCTTGTAGCCGGGATTTCTGTATGAAAAAAGTAGTTCACATGTAAGAAGAACGAGAAGAGATATTGGAATTAAAGCCAATGTGACATTTACGCCTCCTTGGAAAATTAAAAGTGTCGATGAAGTATAATTGAAAGGAATTAATAATATTAAGCCTCGATAAACCATCCATATCATCATTGTGATCCAAAATAATGAATTTGAATTGAAAACTTTGCGTTCTTTGATGTGGATTGGAGATTTCAAATTTTTAATTAAGAAATATATTGAACCTAAGCCAGTAATGCAAAATAGAAATCCAAGTGCAATCATTTCGGGATAATTGCACTTAAATCCTGGCATAGCTACAATGCAAACATCAATTTCACTCATGAAAAAAATTAAAAGTTTTTTTTTCGCTGTAGCCGCTTCCTCAAAAGTGAGTTTGGAAAATCTGTACATGTTGGATATCTATAATCGATTTTATGGCCCTTTGTGATCTTAAATCTGTAATTTGATGATCTGAAACCGTAGGAGATATCAGCAATTTACAACGTGATCGATATCAGGAAAAGATCTCAAGGTAAATTGTTCATATACTGCCATCTTGATGAGTATTGAGATATCTGCAAAGATAAATCCAAAATAATTAAATATCAGATAAGTATTTGTATATTTTGATTTGAATGACAATATTTTCTTAAGGTCTTTAAGATTTAAATTATATTTGCAGCATACCTAATATCGAATAAGAAATTGAGATATAATTTTCAAGATCAAAGTGGACTTATTAGAGTATATAGAGGAATTTTACTGATGATTTTCGTAGTTATAAGAAATCATACTGATACTGCTCCTCATATCATTAATTTCTTCGATATTTTTATCAAATATCATATTTTATAAGCTTTCCATAAGTTGATATAGTAATTCTAGTAAATATGCTTGAATTCATGGTAAAAACTTTTATAATCATACAAATATATTAGAAAATAACAATATTATGTTTCAGTTAAGAAAGTAAAGAGATCTTGAGCTTCGACGACATCATTAACCTTTCCTTCTTCGAGGAAATCTCTAATTTCTCCAATTACGTAATCACTGAAAGAAACTTTTTGAGAAATAAGTTCACACATCATTCCAAAGAACGCTGAAGCTCTAGTTTCCAGTAATTCCTTCTTATCTGACTTTTTCAGCTTTTCAAGAATAACATCTGTCATATTTTCAACAAAATTTGAAGGGAAATTTCCTTCCAAAATCATATCGCGAATTACTGACATAACTGGTCTTGTAACTTCAAAGACAAGTAATGTATCGAATATTGATTGGTCAATTGATGAAATATAGCAATAAATTTTGCTTGCAGCAGATTTATTGATTTCTATAAAGTCTTGAGCTCTAATTTTATCATCCCAAAGAAATCTAACGAGAGAAAGATTTGTTTTAATGGCTTCAAGAACAATATCTGCTTCTCTTCTTTTTAATTTGTCAACATTCATCCTGATAATGATTGATTCAACTGGCTCGTATATCATTGACTTTGGAGCGTCATCGAACAGAAATGGTGGATCATAATCAGCTATATAAGTTGAACTTAATTCATCTGTTTGTATTGGGAATAATGGAGGTGCAATGTTGTCTGGTCCGAATTGTGGCTCTGAAAAAAGATTTGGAGATGTCATGATTTCAATAAGAGCATCTGTTGTCAACGTTGGTTTTGATTTTAAATTAAATTCATTATTGACGACGAAGATTGATCTGTAAATTTGATCAGTGCCTTGGCTTATGTAGATATCTGTTGATTTTGGAGGACTTAGCTTCATCGATAAAAATGACAAAGCTGTTTTTGAGGAAATGAAGTCAATTGATTCATTTGATAGTATCATTTGTAATAATATAGCAATATTTTGATGAATTGAGGACGAATTTTCTTTTGCTTGAAGAAATAAACTTGAATATACAATTGAGAATTCATTTTCGGGTAATGGGCTATTTCTTGACTCTGAATATAGTATCCAAAGAGAAATTACTGTTTGTTGTGAAGTTAAGAGATTTGATTCCATCATGAAACCTAAAGTTGTTAAAGAGAGAACTTTTGTAGCTTCCAAGAAGCTACAAAAAGACTTGTAAATTGATGATAGTGTATTTCTATCATCTGAAATCAATAAAACTAATTGCTCGGCAGAATTTCGATCGAGCATAGTTTTATTTTATTAGAAAATAAGAAATTTGATCGATTCTAATTTAACCTTGGAATATCACTTTGCCAAATTGAATAAAGGTAAAACATCGGAATTTGGAAAATCGATTGATTTAGAATTGATTCTTAATCGTAAAAATAAAGTGTAATTGTAATGTATAGCAAATTATAAAGCAAAACTGATTCATAAAATAAGATTTCAGATTTTTGATTCAATTGTTTCCGATTTCCAATGGATAAATAGTATTTATTTGTTTATTGAAGTATTCACAATATAAAATTTAATTCGAAAGCAAAAAATAATGCAAAAGAAAATTCGATTTCACAAATCTCTTAGTTTTTTCATGAATTTAATCGAAAAGCAAGATACATTAAGGATTTATTTACTATTAATATCGGTTAGACTTTCAAGTTATTCCGTTTTTAAATAAAAATTAGTGAATTTCATGAGATATTTTGAATCTTCCATGATATATAACAAGTTTATGTCATATCTAAGTATCCTGCAATCATCGATTAAATAAAAACCATTACCAGGGGTCGAATCGATGACTTCATCTTTCAACTTCACTTTTCGAATCAATTTTACCCAACAATATTTGCCCGAAAAAAGTGACACTTGAATTTATATGACAGCAAATTATCCCAAAGAAGCGAATCCAAGTTCAAAAATTTCTGCCTTCGGCTCAATTAAATGTCAGATGATCAGTGGCCTTCCAATTCTTGTCGTTCGTGATTCTGCAAAGAACAATGGACCAGAATTCGATATCGTCGATGAGGCCCTTTACCATATGCGCACAAATATCTTCATGCGTGACTTCCCAGCAAAGACAGGCGCAGACCGTCTCATTATTTATCTCACATTCTACGGAATGAAATGTCTCAAATTCTTCGCCAAGAACAAGAAGGACAAAGCTAAATGCCAGCTTGAAATCGACGGCTGGAATCTCAAGCCATTCCCAATTCCAGGTGAAGGCGGTTTCATTATCGATTCCTATGTTACAGCTCCAAAGAATGAGAACGAGAAAAGACAACTCCGCGATTATTTCAAGAAGCTTCGTATCGAAATGGGCAACCGCCTTCTTCAGAAAGTTTTCGCCACAGGTGCTGAAGCAGACAAATGGTGGGTTTGCTTCTCCAACAAGAAGCTCCTCGATAAGGAAATGGCTAACTAATTATATAGCCCTGCGATTTTATAACACACTAAATTGACGTTAATCTTTTACAGTAAGTTTTTTAAATCATCATTGATTTTCCCCTTCATTTTTGATTCTACTGTTTTCTAATGTGAAAATAACTCCAAACTGTTTTTACATCATATTATAGATATTGTTAATTTGATTCTTGAAGAATTCGAATCAAAATCATATTCAATATCATGAAATGTGGAGGGGAGCTGGAATTGATGCATTGATTTCATGATATTGACCTATAATATATAGTACCTTCATCTCGTATTATTAATATGTATGAGAAATTGAAGCAATAGGTTATTTTGTTAGCCAGTATTTGATTCCAAACAAGAGAAATAGTAATTTTATCAATTGTAGTGAAATATACTTCTTCTGTACTCGAGAAGGACTGTATATTTTGAAATGAATATTTATTAATATACAGTATCTACATGTAGTTTCAAATATTATCGATAAAATAACTAAAATAAAAGTTATTTGGTGATTTATAATTGCTAAAATCCCTTAAAATCTTCTAAAAAACTAAATTTAATAATAAAGATTTCCAAAAAAAATTGAAAAATCAAATTTTCGTAATCAAAATGTAGATATTGAACATGAAAAACTCGAATTCAGAAAATATTTGGATTTTGAAGAACATTCGATAGCAGTTTCTATTATGATTTTCAATCTAAAATCGTCCTTTATCTCAAATTAAGTTTAATTTTTGAATCTTTTAAATCAAAACCATTATTTATTTCATAAAAATCAAGTTCATTCATAACTGGAATAAATAATATTGATTTTGAAAAGATAGGAAACAAAAACTTTTATTCTCTAGGAGAAAAGATCAATTAAACAAACAAAAATCATCTAACAAGAGTAATCCAGTCGAATCGAGAAAAATTCACCATATTTCGGTGAATCTTGTATTTTGATATAAAATAATATAAGAAATAAAGGGATATAGCTTATAATCGCTAATTATGAAGATTGGGCAAAAGGATAATGACAATTATTAAAAATGTACCTAAAAATCAAAATCAATCGTCATTAATCATTGAAACAAACATTCCTATAGAAGCTGTAAGGACTAAGAAGCCAAAACCAGTAATAATAGCACCAGATAAAGTGATTTCACTCGATTTTGTAATGGCCCAAGAAACAAGATATATTTGTGGTGTGTGAATGTAATTAGATGGCAAAAAGTAACCATAATCAATCGATAGATACTTAGTTGTATTATAATAATCAGATTTTATGCTAGTTATTGGTGTAGCTGTGAAATTATGAAGAATTTGCATAGGATATCCATTAGATCTATTGCACAATGGTTCAATTCCTTGATCGCTCGTAATAATTGTCGAATATGGACAGTGGATTTTAAAGAATCCATAAGAATTCATAAATTCCAATAGTAAGTTGATATTTTGGTTAACTAGTGGATCAGTTTCATTTGTTAAACCATAGGTAACATTGAAACTTTTAGAACTAATTGTTTTATTTTTGGAATTTAAAAATGCAATTGATGTGTTAAGGTAAAACATGTTATGGACTAGATAAACTGTTCTTGAATTTTGATCAGTGTTCGTAGGTTTTAAGTCAATAATAATTTGTTTGGATTCGTTATAAATTTCAGATTCATTGTTGTAAACAGTTGATACCCAAAGTCCTCGTTTATCTTCTGTTGTCGGAAAAACAGGAATAGAAGTTAAATACTTAGAAGTGTTATATCTTGGCTGAAGAGATCCAACGACCCAGCAGCAAATGCCAATTAAGCTTGCTACTGAACTGATTGCCAATAAAATTAAACCAATATTCTTTTTAGATCCACACATTTAAAATTTTAATTGTCAAAAAATTTTAGACCTATATTTTACATGTCAGAAAATAATTTATTTGACACGTAAAATTATAAGATTTCCAACAAAATGTTATCACACTTAACTAACAGACCCTTTATCAATGAACAGATTGAAATCCCTGACGAATTTGACTTTGATACTACCGAAGATAAGCCAGAAAAACCAAAATATAAGCCACTTCATTTTGATTCACAGTTCCCAAGTAATACTCAAATAGATTATATTAGAAATTCTAAAGATTTATCCTCTTATGATGCTAAGAGTTTCAGAGCTTCCGGTTCAGATAAAAATCCCCAGTTAATATCAAAAGAAACATTACTGTCCATCTATCAGTCATATTAACAACTAACTTTAGAGGCCACACAGTGCTTTCATTTTTTTCCCCTTGAGATCACTGATATTTTCATTTTTTAAAATCATCACAATTTTACAATTGCATTTCATACATTTTATGCATGGGATGGGTAATAAAATGGCCTAGAGATCATCACTGTTCAGTGTTTTCAGTTATACTGATTTAATTTTAAAATTTTATTGTAACGATCGGTAGTATTCAATTTTACTGACGATGAATATGTAAATTACACATTGTTACATGCTTTTGAGCTATCATTCGAATAAAAATTAACATTTTGAAATTTTTTTCTTTATTTATTATTCTTTCCGCATAAAAATAAAACAATTTTTTGAATGAGTGTTGATATAGAAGATGATCTTCAAGAATTAAATAGATACAAGTCATATGAAGTAGATGTGACTGATTATCAGTTTAGCAGGATGCTAGGCAAAGGAACATACGGCAACGTCTGGCTTGGTTTAAATAAGTATACAGGCTGGAATGCAGCTGTAAAGGAATTGATTACAAAAGAACTTGACCAACAGCAAATATCATTCTTCAAGCGAGAAGTTGAGATTCTGATCAAAGCAAAAGATACATTTTTATTAGACCTGATAGGATTCACAACCAAGCCACCATACTCTATTCTAACATCCTACATGCAATGCGGATCACTTTGGGATATGATTCACAATCATCCTGGCACAATCAACGGTACTCAGAAAACAAACATCGCTTTAGGTATCGCACACGCAATGAGGAAACTACACGCTAAAAACATTATCCATAGAGACCTCAAATCACCTAACATTCTCTTAGATGAAAAAGTTCTTCCTAAAGTTGCAGATTTTGGACTTGGAAGATTCATTGGAGATGATTCCGCGGAAAAATACATGACAAAATGCATCGGAACACCCATATGGATGGCTCCAGAACAAATTCATTCAGATACTTATGATAAATCAGTCGATGTATACGCGTTTGGAATGATTCTTTACGAAATGTTTACAGAGGTTGTGCCATTCAAGGGGTACACTGACGTTCAAATTTTCCAATCCGTTGAAAAACACCTCAGACCTGAACTTCCTTCTGTAGAAAACCAGCCTAAGCAGGTACAAAAGCTTGCTACGCTTATAAGCTTGTGTTGGGCTGATGATCCTTCTTTACGTCCTTCTTTCGAAAAAATTTTTAAATTATTTTCTCGACACGTCGTTGCTTTTCCGAGCTGCCAACCACGTGGTGTTGATGCACTCCTAAGAATGATTAGCGAAAGCGACGAACATGAGCAAATTAAAGAAGGATTCAGTTCAGAACAAATTTCATCGATTTTGGAAATCCGCGACAGATATAAGAAAGAAAAATACGAAGTACCAGAAAGAATCTCGCAACTTGTTCGTGGAGGAGATATATCCGAAATCAGCAAAATGATCGTTGCTATTCCAACTTACAATGTTAACGCAAAAGATAGCAAAGGATATACTCCACTGCATATTGCGGCCATTCTTCCTAGTATTCCAATACTTTCTTTCTTATTGGACATAAAAACAATTAATCCAAACGTCCAAGATGATAAAGGACGCACACCAGCAATGCTTGCCATTAAAGTACACACTCTTGATGTTCTTATCAAGCTAATTGAGCATCCAAAGACAGATGTTAATATTAAGGATCATTCCGGCCATACGATCGCCCATTATTCGGTTATTTTCAATGACATTGACGCATTGAAAGTAATTATGAAAAATAAGAACCTTGATCTGAAGATCGTAGACAAGAAAGGTAATTCTCCTTTGGAAATAGCCAAGCAAGACCATAATAAGGCTATGATCGATCTTTTGTCTGCAGATTCTAAGAAATAACTGTCTCGATTTTTATCCATGTTGTAAACTAGTTTTATTTAAATATTTCATTCATTTTTCCAAATAGTGTTCAATTGATTTAATAAAATTATTGCTTATCATAAGAAATTGATATTATTTGAATCAGATCTTTATTTTTGATATAGTTCTTATACTCACCAACACAAAATTCTTCATAATAAGATTATTGAGTATAGTTTATCTATAGAAAACACCATAAAAAGAATATTTCCTTTCATTCAAAATATATCCTTATTTCTCTTTAATAGAATTCAAATTTTTATACAAGCCACATCTATGAAAAAGAAAATTTCATATCCAACCAAAAGAGAAACATTTTATTAAAATAAAAATTTTTGATTAATCAGTACTTGTTGGATTTTCCAGTACCGTGTTTGCTTGATGATGTAGAAGCATCCAAAACTTAGATGGATTATTCTGATAAGACTGGTAAACATCTGAATTAAATGGATTTGTAAGAGGAATATCTAAAATCAACAAAGAATATATTGTATCGAGATATTTTTCCATTGAAGTACTATAAGCGTTTATGCAAATATCTTGTTGTTGATGGAATATTCCATTTGATGAATCAATTAAAGGATGATTTAATCCTGGAGCAAAAGTAACTGTTGGTAAGTGATTTATATCTGAGCTATCGAGCTGAATTGTAAAATAAAATACTGATCCCCAAATTGGTGTTCCACTTCCACCAATTATAGCGCATTTGTACACATAATCTTGTGAGCTTTCATCAAATTCGATTGCCCATGGCTTGTTTACTAAGCCTAAACAATTTTTGATATCTGCAATAACTTCTTCAAGTTTCATAACAAAAAAATGATATTCAGAAGGAGAAAAGTGAAATAAATCTATCATGAGATTGTGCGGATCTTACTGATTTGGTGTTTCGATTGAAATATAAAATGAAAAATATATGAAATTTCAAAATCATATTCAGATGATAATCAATTTAATATAAAAATGAAGTTAAAAGTTAAATATCATGTAATTTTGTTTTTATTCACTCTATAAAAAAATAATTAATTTTGGGCTTCAGCTAATAACTTCTGAATATCAGTATTAAATGTTCTCCTAGCAGGTACATTACCTTTGTTATCAGGAATGCTTGGATCTGCTTTGTTTCCGAGTAATAATTTGACACAACGAAGAGAACCAATTATACAAGCTTGCATCAACGGTGTATTACCTTTAGAGTCCTTAGCGTTCACATTGGCACCATTCTTGATCAGTACTTCAGCTGTTTTTATGTCATCTCCTTTAATTGCGATATGTAAAGGTGTTAAACCGTTTCTATCGGATTGGTCGACCGAAGCTCCACTATTTATGAGGTACTGAATTACATTTCTGAAGGAATGTTGAACGGCGAAAATTAAAGGTGAAATTCCGGCTTCGCTGATCGAAAGAGTATTGATATCTGTACCTTTCTTGATTAATGAGACCAAGAACTTGTAGTTATGGGACATGATTGCATCGATAGGTGTTAATTTGCATTCTTCTTTCTCCAAAAGCCATTCGAAGACAGATTGATGGTGGAATCTGAATGCAAACTCATTGCAGTCCTTTATTTTGTCCTCGCAATCCTTAATTATCTCCATATTGCCGCCCATTACAGCGCATTGAGCGATTTCTGGTGTAATTTCGAGATTGTAGTTAGTTTTGAGGAAGAGCCAGACTTTGGGAGCTCCGAAATAAGCTGCCAAGCCAAGAACTGTTGTAGAAGGAGGAGCTTCGCTGACTTCAAACTCACTCCACTCGAGAGGCTTCTTCCAATCAGCATTATCGCCTTCTGCGATAACGAGGTTTTGTGCAGCATCGACATTGTCCGATTTAATTGCGAATTGAAGTGAATTTGCAAGCCAAAGATTTTCTCTGAGTTCTTCAAGGGGCTGCTTCCATAAATCATCTTCCTTCTTGCCCTTGAAGACATCCATATCAAAGAGAACACTCTCATCATTGAATTCATCAAAGAAAAGGTTAGTTTTGAACGTATGATTCTTCTTTATAACGTCTTTGACGCCAAGTATGTCGTTCTTGCGAAGTTGGTATGAAAGTTGTGGAACATCTTCGTCGATAATGACATCAAGTAAAATATCTTCGAATAAATCTTGATCTGGCATCTTTTTAGCGAGAGCTGTTAAAAATTTTGTGTATAATGGTATATGTGTTGAGCGAATTGGAACCATTCTAACAATTTCGCGGCATAAATCTGGTAAATTTTCTTCTTCAACGTAAATTGATGCCATGATTTGCTCTATACTTGCGTCAATGTTTTCCTCATTGAGATTTCCAATAGTTGTCTGGAGTTGGATCGCTTTCTCGAGCTCTGGAGGAAATTCTCCCATCAAGATTTTAACAAAAAGTGACAAATACACAAATTTTATCAATCAACTTGATATGGAGTGATGTTACGATTATTACTCTCGTTGAAGTAACACGGTCTAAATGGCAATACAGAATCTTTGATAAATTTGGCGCCAAAATATTTTGACAATATGTCAATGTAAATTGTTTACAAACGCCAGTTCTCTGACAGTTTTAGTTTTTTTCCGTATGGAATTATAAAGGAATCAAGATTAGTTATTGACAATTCATCAACGGGAGCTGTAGTACTTGGAAATTCAGTCGAATTACTTCAGGTTCATCTAAAATTCGCTTTAAGTTGCATATTGGGAAAAATCCAGCAATGGAACTCTGGAGAGAACAACAATTATAGTCATAGCTACTAATATCGAAAACATTGATGACTAATGCAGTATTCGAAAGCAATAATGAAGTCTTAGTTGTTAATGTTCATTCGAATCCAAACTGTTGATGTTTTGAATGAAATTTTTTTTTTGCAAAAATTGAATATTCAACTCTTGTTTGGAGAAAAGAATGGATGTTTAATAAATGCCCATATAGAATTTACGATGAATGCAATGACTTATGACAAGAAATTCAAACATATATCTCTAAATATTTGATTTATGATATAAAAAGATGATTGAGAATAGTGATTTTTAATACTCATTGTTTTTGCAACCTAAATAAAGCATATTACTTACTTAGATTTCTTTAAATTAAGACTGGAATTTGAAATTTTATTTTCTTATATGAGTTTAGAGACTCAAATTTAACATTTGAAGGTAAAACATAGTTTATTGCCACTGCAAATCTTATTTGGCTGAAAAATAAGACTTTTGAAGCAATAAAAAGTAAAAAATTTAAAAGATTTATGAAATTCATAAAAGTATGATATTGGATAGATAGACTATTCGTTCATTTTGACTTATTCTTCTTAGGTAAGACTGTAGCTAAAACGATTATTACAATAACAATAATGAAAACGATAACACCGGCCAAAATGTACCACAAGCATCTGTTACTAGCCTTCTGATGCTCTTGAGCCTTATTTAAGCTCTGATTTCCTTGTACCATCTGCTCATGTGAATCATCAATCGTATTATCAACGCGAACAACTACTTCATGCTGTTCTTCGATCTTAGTCTGGAGAATTGATGTTGCTTCATCGATTGCTTTCATATCTTCTACGATGTTTTGAGTGTCTCTGTTGAAATTTTCCATTGCTACTGATTCATCTTGAATAAGGGACTGGGAAAGTGCTCCGCCGGCATTTGAAGACTGAGAAGCTTGCTGTTTCTGCTGTGCTTCTTGCTTCTCGAGCATTTCAATTTGCCTTTCGGTATCATTTTTAATATCTTCGTAATCTCCGCTTAATCTTTCGTACTTATCTTGGAGGTCCTGTGGAGCATTAGCAATTAGTGGAGCAATTTGGAGCTGGTAGTTGTTCATATCTTTGAAATGTTTCTTAATTGTCATTCTTTTTGATGGATTGCTGATATTAGGGAGCTCTTTCTTAACACTGTTTAAACGATTCTCGAAATTATTGACAAGTTGCTGTACACTTTGGCCTTCACCAGCTCCTCTTTTCAAACTCATTGAAAATTGAAAACAATAAATTTCACATTATCAACCGCTGAGTTATTCTCAAAAAATTTTTTTCCATCGATACAGAAAAAATTTTCCATAAATCGGAAATATTGATATGAATGTCTTTATAAGATAATAATATCTGAATTCGATAGTCAATTAAATTCTAGAGGAAACATTAAAAATATCTTTAATTGTTGGATATTTTAAATAATTACTCGCTTTTTTATAACTGTTTAAGCAGTGATACTTATTATGTATTTTGTATCCCGAATCTAAAGGTTTTCCTTTGATATTCTAGATTTTATGTATTTTTGATATTGATATATGGCAACGTTATAGTTTATTCTATCTGCCTCTCATAAAATACACAAGGATATTAAAGTATGCAATATTGCGTCATCTAATTCAATAATTTTGAAAAACATGAATATTAATTGTTTTATGACATATATTTCATCAAAAAGGAAATCACACGAACTAATTTAGTAATATTGTAGCAATTTTCCTATAGAATAATGCCTTAAACCATAAAATTTAATATAGGAAATGACAAAAATAGAAATTAAAAAATATGAGAGCTTGAATTAAGAGAAATAGCTTTAATCCGAAAACCCACATCTTAACAATGAATGAAAGATCTTATATGATGACTTGATAATATTGTGATGTTATCTATTTATGTAGTTATCATCGGAATCAATGATTAGAACATGTTTCTTTGGATCAAGAATTTTGATCACTTTTAAGTGAAAATAATGCGTAATAATGATTTTTTTTATTTTATTAAATGATTGACCTTTGGATTCATGAGAAAATGAATATTTTGAGGTTTCATGAGAAAATGAACTACGACAATCCAAAAACTATACCTCCGAGAGATTTTATCATATGTTATTTTAAAGATTCAATATTCAAAAATATTAAAAAGTTTATTCATGAATCATTATAGATGTCATTGACAATGATCCACCAACGATGTCATCGTTGAATATTTCAATCTTATCCTTCTCTGTTGCTTGTGCCATTGCATAGATGAGTGGCAAATAGTGATCTGAAGGATTTGGAACTGCCATTCTTGCATAACGGATTTTTTCAAACTCAACTAATGTTGTTTTATCTTTCTTCAATATTGCTTCATTGATCTTATTTCTGAATTCATCTGCCCATTGGTATTGATATATCTCATCAACTCTATCGAAATCTACTTGACCGAGATTATGAACTATATCTCCACTGCAGAGAATTAAGACTCCTTCGTCTCTCAAAACATTAAGTTTTTCAGCAATTTCCCAATGTTTTTCTGGAGGAAGTGTTACATCAATGGAAAGCTGAATTGCAGGAACATCAGCATCTGGATATAAGTGTCTTAAAATACACCAAGCACCATGATCTAAACCACGCTTTGCTTGTGATCTGATATGATAATCAGAAAGAATTTCTGAAACTCTTTTTGCTAATTCTGGAGAACCGGGGGTTGGATATTTCAGCTCGTATAATTCGGGTGGGAAACCATAGAAATCATATTCTAATGGAGCATTCTTCCATGTCATGATTTCTGTTTTCCTTGTGCACCAATGCGCTGATATGACCAAGATTGATTTCGGCTTTGGAAATGTTTTTACGATTCTGGCAAATTCCAAATTATATTTATTGTTGGGAAACAGCGTATTCATTGGGCTGCCATGACCTAAGAAGAGTACTGGAAGTTTACTCATCACTTTGAATTATGATTTGACGGTTTGAAATTTTTATCCTTTCAAATTGATTTGCAAAGAAAATTTTCACATTTGGCATTTAAATATCTCTTTTACTGACTTATAAGATAATGTCTTTAATTGACAATTCTTAAATTATCAATTTTTGCGATAAACTCATTGAGAAATCATGTAAAATAAAATATCAAAGTATATGATACATTTGTCGAAATGTGTGCGATTGTTCCATTAAAAATTTTGATTAAACTATATTTTATTGATTCTTGATAATTTTTTTTATTCATTTTCAATATTTTGCATTATACATTAATTCAGCTAGATTTATTGGTTTCATTAATTTAATTCAGGAATAATGGGAAATAATTGAATAATTTGTTAATTCCATCGAAAAAGGAAAGTTCAATGTAAGTTCAATGTTTGAATGTTATTTATTATCTATTAGGCATTATTCGAAAGCAATTAAAACAAATCGAAAAAAAATCATTTTGATTTGAAGCAAATTAATTGATATATTTAACAATTCAATACGGATTCTATGTAAATTTGAATTGAAGATTCCCTTGTACTCACTAATCGTTTTCTTCATTAACGAAACTATAACATTTCTTTGTTTGAAATGAAGAATTATGGAATAGCCCATGCCACACTCCATGAGAACATTTAATTTCTCTAGTTTTTCGAAACTGATATATAAAATGAAGAAAAATTTCAAAAGAAGTTAATTCAAAAACACAAATTATAATATCAATTATATGAGATTTTGTGAGAGATATCCGCCTGTAATTTTTCTGAACCTTTATTTCAGTTAATTGAATTTACAAATCAAATATTCTTGTTTATTTTGTTTAGATATTTATCTATTTATTTTGATATTCTTTTCAAAAATGGATTATTATTGAATTATTTGAATGTACCATATCGTCACAAAATTGAATTCTATGAGATATTTTGAAAAAAGGAAAACCGAACTGTGACTGATCTTTCCCATGGGAAATAAAATCACAGTTGGCTATTAGTTGTATACAGTATATTAAATTGGAATTAATTAAGGTAATTACTTAATTTTTTAAAGTTTTTTTCAAAAAACAATAATATTTCCATTTTCTTTAGTTATTCGTATTGGAACTACATACTCATAAATCAAATTTTATGATTTATTAATTAAAAACAGGACAAATGAAATATGAAATATAAATACATGATCTTACAGTGATAGAAGTACGATTTTTTATAGTACATAAAATAAAAGTTAACTTAAGAGTAAATAAGGGTTTCGTTTTGCTAAAATTGTCACTTTTATAGCATATTTGTTTTTGGATGTTTTGCGAAACCAAAAAAAACTATGATATACAATGTGTGTGTAAAGAAAATACTTTATTTACTAGTTAAAAAATCATTTGGTATTGATCAAGTTTTTTTTTCTGGATAAGATATTATATGGATAATTGGATAGAAAATACAATTATATAATCTTGTACCTGGTTTAATTAAGCTAATTGTCATCAGAAACTTGTAATTTTTATGAATTTCAGATTTTCTTTTCATTACTGCTTTTCTTAATAGGTCAAGTTCTTATTTACGTTATAAAGTATGATATTTACAAATATCAAGTTATCGTGTTTTTTGAGAAATTATGAGAAACAAACAAAAATGAAAAAGATAGGAATAGCAATGAATAGTGATGTGGGTATAGAAAATGTAAGAGATATGAATGCAAAGCAATCAGTATTTAGGACATTGACCATAGATTTCGAAAAAAAAATGCTGCATATTGAGCGAAAACTATGATTATATTATAAGGCTGTCATTTAAAGCATAATGAAACTATTCCCTTTTCATTTTAATCGAATAAGATAGTAAAGATTTTTGAATTAGCTAGAAACTGATGAGATGTTTTCACAAATCAGATTTTTAATCTCTATAATGCATAATTCACTCAATATCTCAATTTTGATATTGCGAGATATTTTTGCTATCGGTTTCGCAATTTTGACACAATAGCAAGAGGGTTCTATAAGCATTATTATCAACGTAGAATCTGAATATCATATCAGAAAATGTCGCAAATCTGACATTTACCCGACCAAATAGCAAAAATAATTGAATACTTTTCGCAAAAACTTTAAAAATCGATAAAAATATGAAATATAGATATTAAAGAGACTTTTAATATAATATTCATAAAGATTTTCCAAAAATATGATACCGCAAAATTAAAAAAGTGACGTCTTGAGTGGAGTCAAAGGTCGAAATTGCTAGCTAAATGTTTTTTAGCGAAATTGCGTATTGTACGTTTTTTTCGCAAAACGAAACCCTTAGAGTAAAATTAGAATGATGAGATTCAGATTCAAATGAAAAAAATATATTTGAAAAAAAAATCATAAAAATCAATTATTATTAAATTATTCAATATGAAACAAAAAGAGAGATTATTATCTGTTGAAATTTATACAGAAACAAAAAAAAATGTTGAAAGAATAGAAATGGAAAGGAAAATGAAGATAATAGTGATATATTATGAAAGAACCAAAATTATATAAAAAAGATATGTAATAGAAATGAAGTCATAAGAAATTTCCCATGTCAAATATTTCTGAGAACACTAAAATTGAATATTAACAAAATTGAGGAAAGCGTAAATTTGCGAAGAGGAATTCAATAAGAGTTCTGAAAATGTTTGTTAGAATTGAAAACACAATGATAGTAATTGCAAAAAGTATGAAAAGTTTAATAAAAATCACATGTTAAAATAATATATTTAATTTGATTAGAAAATGTTTTATGAGTGTAGAGTTATTATAGAAACTAATATATGGGTTAAAATAGATTAAGAAAATAACCCAATTCAATGTAATTTAGCAGAATACGAATTATTTGAAAAATTAAATGGAATCTATTTTTATTTGCTGATTAACGAAACGAGCACGTTTTTAGACTGAAAAGTTAAAGTAGATGACTTTTCAGAATACGATTTGTAATATATAAAAAATTATAGAAAAAAAAACATTGATAATTATGTAATATTCGATATATTATGATGAATGGATGCAAATTTTAAAAAACTCCGAATAATCATCAAAAAATGATTATTCATGAAATTCAAGAATCTGATTATTATTCTCATTTGCATTACAATTCCCAAAAAATAATTTTTCTCTCAATTTTCACATTCAAAAACTAGATGTAACTATATCATATGTATATTACTACCAGTCTCAATCTATCAGTGTTTTTCTTTTATCCATTTCAATGATGAATCGTTTTTTGACACTCAATTATCAACTATTTTTGTACTTTCAAAAAATAAAAATGCCAAGTGGGGCTAATTTATTAATATATCTGAAATACTATATAACCTCATTATGAATATCAGTGGAATATCCAAAACTAATAATAGACATAGATTTATGCACAATTTTATGAAAATGCGATTTTATTCTATGTTGCTTCTTTATTATATCTTTTCTTTACTAAATTACCTTTCAATATTTTGAAAATTATTCTTTCTTTTCATTTCATGCTATATAACATAATATTTTAAAATATTCAAATCATAAACAAAACGTGCGGCAACCAATATTAAATTTTTGTATGTTTATTCTTATTTTTTTGAGAGTATTCAAAATAAAAATTCAAAACTCACTCAGAATTGTTGTGGCGGTTCTTATTCATTTAAAATTTTTTAATGTACAGACCTAAGCTCAAACTCTCTTCAGCGGAAATGCAACAGTTTCTGGAGTTTATTAAAGAGAGTACTCATGGGCCAGGTGGTACGTGGTCAATAAAAATATATGAAGAAATTAAAGACAAATTATTAAAATTACATCCGATGGACATTGATAAATTTACGCAAGCTATGGTTGATGATTTTATCGATAAAAACTCTTCCTGTTTATGTCGTTATAAAACTGCTCAGTTGTTTGCTTTCATGAAATCGAAAAATATAAATGGATTCAATGAATCTATACAACGTAGAAAACCTGAATTATTAAATTTATTTATAACAGAGTCTCAGGATCAGTTGAGTAGTGCTGTACACGGATACATTTCTTCTCTTTTCTCAGATAGTTCATCTAAGCCAATTTCAAATACCCCTCCACCCACCATTTATATTTATCCGAAATCCTCTAAGGAAAAACCATCATTTACACCTCCGATGTAATTTTATTTAATTTTTTTATATTATGTTTGTATTTTCGTTTCATGTTTTGTTTATAATAAATTGTTTTGTTATTTATTTTTGTTTCCATTATAATCATTTTTCATTTTCTAAAATTATTTTAGCGTTATTTATTCGACATTTTTAATTTTAATGCAAACGTTTTCAGCTGTTATTGTGCTCCAGCAATTCAAACTAAAATAACTGAATTCGGGTATTTTTCAAAAAATCAATGTTGCTCGGGATATTGTTATAGACCGAAAATAGATTTTTTCGGTTTTCTCTTCAAATAATTGAAAGAATGATACTATTATAGGTTTATTATATTATATAGCATATAATCATGCTATAGCCGAAAATTATAAGTTTTGAGAAGATTGAATATAACACAAATAAATTTGAAGGTAAGTTAAATTGCTTGTTGTTTTTAATAGCTATTTAATGAGAAATCCAATATTGCAAAATTCAAATTGAATGATTGAAAGAACAGAAAAAGTCATTCTTTTCAATTTCGAATATGTTTCATTGTATCTGGGATTATATGGCAAATAAGATATTTAAACTTGATTTTTGAAGGAATATTCACAAAATTGAAAGTATTCAAATAATTTTTATTCAAAAATAAACTAGTTATTTGAGTTTGATACTTGTTATCTATTCAAACTACATAGTTTGTAATTTAAAATATTTTGTGAGATCAGATTGAATTAATTCAAGGTTCTTTTCAATTAATATTAATGACCATATTACGCATTTTCGAACATTCTAAACCAAATATATAAAAATGGGAGACGAATGTTAAATTTGCTAGACATGGGGGAGTTGTCTGCAATGTTTTAGCTCTTATCTCTAACAAAAAATTAATTTTTAAAAAAAAGACCGAATACGTTTCACAGCGAGAAAAAGATAAAAGGCAAGATAGAATTTTCTAGACATAAAGAAGTTGTTTACCGAGTTTTAGCTCTTATCTCTAACAAAAAATTAATTTTTAAAAAAAAGACCGAATACGTTTCACAGCGAGAAAAAAATAAAAGGCAAGATAGAATTTTCTAGACATAAAGAAGTTGTTTACCGAGTTTTAGCTCTTATCTCTAACAAAAAATTAATTTTTAAAAAAAAGACCGAATACGTTTCACAGCGAGAAAAAAATAAAAGGCAAGATAGAATTTTCTAGACATAAAGAAGTTGTTTACCGAGTTTTAGCTCTTATCTCTAACAAAAAATTAATTTTTAAAAAATGACCGAATACGTTTCACAGCGAGAAAAAAATAAAAGGCAAGATAGAATTTTCTAGACATAAAGAAGTTGTTTACCGAGTTTTAGCTCTTATCTCTAACAAAAAATTAATTTTTAAAAAAATGACCGAATACGTTTCACAGCGAGAAAAAAATAAAAGGCAAGATAGAATTTTCTAGACATAAAGAAGTTGTTTACCGAGTTTTAGCTCTTATCTCTAACAAAAAATTAATTTTTAAAAAAATGACCGAATACGTTTCACAGCGAGAAAAAAATAAAAGGCAAGATAGAATTTTCTAGACATAAAGAAGTTGTTTACCGAGTTTTAGCTCTTATCTCTAACAAAAAATTAATTTTTAAAAAAAAGACCGAATACGTTTCACAGCGAGAAAAAAATAAAAGGCAAGATAGAATTTTCTAGACATAAAGAAGTTGTTTACCGAGTTTTAGCTCTTATCTCTAACAAAAAATTAATTTTTAAAAAAATGACCGAATACGTTTCACAGCGAGAAAAAATAAAAGGCAAGATAGAATTTTCTAGACATAAAGAAGTTGTTTACCGAGTTTTAGCTCTTATCTCTAACAAAAAATTAATTTTTAAAAAAAAGACCGAATACGTTTCACAGCGAGAAAAAGATAAAAGGCAAGATAGAATTTTCTAGACATAAAGAAGTTGTTTACCGAGTTTTAGCTCTTATCTCTAACAAAAAATTAATTTTTAAAAAAAAGACGAATACGTTTCACAGCGAGAAAAAAATAAAAGGCAAGATAGAATTTTCTAGACATAAAGAAGTTGTTTACCGAGTTTTAGCTCTTATCTCTAACAAAAAATTAATTTTTAAAAAAATGACCGAATACGTTTCACAGCGAGAAAAAAATAAAAGGCAAGATAGAATTTTCTAGACATAAAGAAGTTGTTTACCGAGTTTTAGCTCTTATCTCTAACAAAAAATTAATTTTTAAAAAAAGACCGAATACGTTTCACAGCGAGAAAAAAATAAAAGGCAAGATAGAATTTTCTAGACATAAAGAAGTTGTTTACCGAGTTTTAGCTCTTATCTCTAACAAAAAATTAATTTTTAAAAAAATGACCGAATACGTTTCACAGCGAGAAAAAAATAAAAGGCAAGATAGAATTTTCTAGACATAAAGAAGTTGTTTACCGAGTTTTAGCTCTTATCTCTAACAAAAATTAATTTTTAAAAAAAAGACCGAATACGTTTCACAGCGAGAAAAAAATAAAAGGCAAGATAGAATTTTCTAGACATAAAGAAGTTGTTTACCGAGTTTTAGCTCTTATCTCTAACAAAAAATTAATTTTTAAAAAAATGACCGAATACGTTTCACAGCGAGAAAAAAATAAAAGGCAAGATAGAATTTTCTAGACATAAAGAAGTTGTTTACCGAGTTTTAGCTCTTATCTCTAACAAAAAATTAATTTTTAAAAAAATGACCGAATACGTTTCACAGCGAGAAAAAAATAAAAGGCAAGATAGAATTTTCTAGACATAAAGAAGTTGTTTACCGAGTTTTAGCTCTTATCTCTAACAAAAAATTAATTTTTAAAAAAATGACCGAATACGTTTCACAGCGAGAAAAAAATAAAAGGCAAGATAGAATTTTCTAGACATAAAGAAGTTGTTTACCGAGTTTTAGCTCTTATCTCTAACAAAAATTAATTTTTAAAAAAAAGACGAATACGTTTCACAGCGAGAAAAAAATAAAAGGCAAGATAGAATTTTCTAGACATAAAGAAGTTGTTTACCGAGTTTTAGCTCTTATCTCTAACAAAAAATTAATTTTTAAAAAAAAGACCGAATACGTTTCACAGCGAGAAAAAAATAAAAGGCAAGATAGAATTTTCTAGACATAAAGAAGTTGTTTACCGAGTTTTAGCTCTTATCTCTAACAAAAAATTAATTTTTAAAAAAAATGACCGAATACGTTTCACAGCGAGAAAAAATAAAAGGCAAGATAGAATTTTCTAGACATAAAGAAGTTGTTTACCGAGTTTTAGCTCTTATCTCTAACAAAAAATTAATTTTTAAAAAAAAGACCGAATACGTTTCACAGCGAGAAAAAAAATAAAAGGCAAGATAGAATTTTCTAGACATAAAGAAGTTGTTTACCGAGTTTTAGCTCTTATCTCTAACAAAAATTAATTTTTTAAAAAATGACGAATACGTTTCACAGCGAGAAAAAAATAAAAGGCAAGATAGAATTTTCTAGACATAAAGAAGTTGTTTACCGAGTTTTAGCTCTTATCTCTAACAAAAAATTAATTTTTAAAAAAAAGACCGAATACGTTTCACAGCGAGAAAAAGATAAAAGGCAAGATAGAATTTTCTAGACATAAAGAAGTTGTTTACCGAGTTTTAGCTCTTATCTCTAACAAAAAATTAATTTTTAAAAAAAAGACCGAATACGTTTCACAGCGAGAAAAAAAATAAAAGGCAAGATAGAATTTTCTAGACATAAAGAAGTTGTTTACCGAGTTTTAGCTCTTATCTCTAACAAAAAATTAATTTTTAAAAAAATGACCGAATACGTTTCACAGCGAGAAAAAAATAAAAGGCAAGATAGAATTTTCTAGACATAAAGAAGTTGTTTACCGAGTTTTAGCTCTTATCTCTAACAAAAAATTAATTTTTAAAAAAATGACCGAATACGTTTCACAGCGAGAAAAAAATAAAAGGCAAGATAGAATTTTCTAGACATAAAGAAGTTGTTTACCGAGTTTTAGCTCTTATCTCTAACAAAAAATTAATTTTTAAAAAAAAGACCGAATACGTTTCACAGCGAGAAAAAAATAAAAGGCAAGATAGAATTTTCTAGACATAAAGAAGTTGTTTACCGAGTTTTAGCTCTTATCTCTAACAAAAAATTAATTTTTAAAAAAAAGACCGAATACGTTTCACAGCGAGAAAAAAATAAAAGGCAAGATAGAATTTTCTAGACATAAAGAAGTTGTTTACCGAGTTTTAGCTCTTATCTCTAACAAAAAATTAATTTTTAAAAAAATGACCGAATACGTTTCACAGCGAGAAAAAAATAAAAGGCAAGATAGAATTTTCTAGACATAAAGAAGTTGTTTACCGAGTTTTAGCTCTTATCTCTAACAAAAAATTAATTTTTAAAAAAAAGACCGAATACGTTTCACAGCGAGAAAAAAATAAAAGGCAAGATAGAATTTTCTAGACATAAAGAAGTTGTTTACCGAGTTTTAGCTCTTATCTCTAACAAAAAATTAATTTTTAAAAAAAAGACCGAATACGTTTCACAGCGAGAAAAAGATAAAAGGCAAGATAGAATTTTCTAGACATAAAGAAGTTGTTTACCGAGTTTTAGCTCTTATCTCTAACAAAAAATTAATTTTTAAAAAAAAGACCGAATACGTTTCACAGCGAGAAAAAAATAAAAGGCAAGATAGAATTTTCTAGACATAAAGAAGTTGTTTACCGAGTTTTAGCTCTTATCTCTAACAAAAAATTAATTTTTAAAAAAATGACCGAATACGTTTCACAGCGAGAAAAAAATAAAAGGCAAGATAGAATTTTCTAGACATAAAGAAGTTGTTTACCGAGTTTTAGCTCTTATCTCTAACAAAAAATTAATTTTTAAAAAAAAGACCGAATACGTTTCACAGCGAGAAAAAAATAAAAGGCAAGATAGAATTTTCTAGACATAAAGAAGTTGTTTACCGAGTTTTAGCTCTTATCTCTAACAAAAAATTAATTTTTAAAAAAATGACCGAATACGTTTCACAG